GGGGTCTGAGTGTGAGGCAGGCATGGAAGAGGTGGCAGTCTGCAGGATAAACAGCGTTAGCTAAGGCATGATGAGAGAGAAAGGCAGAGGCCTCCACTGTGGTCCTCTGACCTGCCCAGCCTCCTTTCCTGCCAGTCTGACAGGAGCATTAAGGACGCCTCTGGCCTGGGGAGAGAACAGGGAGCAATGGAAGGGGCAGGGATCCCATGACCCAGCTGGGTGAAGTTGCCCTGAGGAGCCTAGGCTACTGGTATGAATGTAACAGCTCTGGGCACTGAGCGAGGTCTTTCTGGGCCCTGGGGACCAGGTCTGGGCCAACTGGGAAACAGGAGACAGTCTAGGGGCTGGCTGATAGGAACATCGCTGAGTCCCTCTGAATTCCAGGGGCCTCTGCCTTTCTCTCTCCCTTCTATCATCTCCATGTATGGTTTTGATGGATAGGCAGTGGACACCAAAGTCTCCAACCCCAAGGGAACTAGAAAACAGAGGGAGATGTGGTGAAGCACTGATTGGTGTTAGAGGGGCAGGGTTTGCTGAGCTGGCAGATGATCTGGGGGACAGAAAGGCCAGGCCCCCCTAAGAGTGGGTGAGTCCCCAGGCTGGAGCAAAGAGATGTCAGGTCCAGGTTGGGGGTCGTGTGCAGCTAGAAGACCTCTAGGCCCTGCAGTGGGGAGCCAGCGGCTGCTCTCTCTCCTGGAGGGACAGCGATAGGGCAAGGAGATGACCCAGACTCTGTTCCCTCCGAGGAGAGGTCAGCTGGACAAGGGTGGAGCCGCAGGCAGTTTGAGCTGGGACTTGACTCTATCCCCCAAGGAGGGTGCGCAGACGGGAAGATCGGGCTCCTCCTCCCAGACCCGGCATCGCGGACTGTGATTTCTGCGCTGGGCAGTGACGGCGGCACAGCCCGACCTTGGCCAACCTTGCACACCTCCTCGCCCGCCCCCCCCCCCCACCATATCCCCACCCCACCACACCCACGCGGCCTGACGCGGTCCAGGCACGCCAGGGTTTTGAGGCACCTCTCCCGGCGGCTCGGACAGGGCGGGGAGAACTCGGTCATTCGTGGATGGTGGTTCCTTCCCTCCTTGGCCTTTCGGTGCGCGCTGGACCATGGAGCCCAGCCTTCCGTGATCAGAATAAGGGAGAGCCCCCGAGGCTGGGGTGGCCGGGAGATAGTCTTCAGGGAAGACTTCAGACTCACACTCCTCTCCTTGTCCCTGGCCGGATCTGGGGGATAAGCCTGGAAACGCCCAGGGTCGTGCCCAGCAGACCCACCCCGGGAGTCCTGGGCTGAGATTTCCCCGATGCGACAAAAGGGCCGAAGGGCGGGCCCGGGGCGGGGCGGAGGGCGGCCGAAGGAGCTGGGGGTCCCCTGCTCACGGCTGGGAACGGTTTTCCGGGCGGTCTGCCCCTGCAGGGTCTCCCCGCGCGCCAGCCGGGCACTCACCGTGCAGGGTCAGGAAGTCCTGGCCCGCGTCCATGCCCGACGGGCGTCGCGGCGGGAGGTGGGCGCCGCGGGACACAAGTGCGCGGGACAGCGCCGGCAGCCTCGGGTCCGAGCGGAGCGCGGTGGAAGATCTCGAATGAGTGCGGTGGGAGGAGGCAGAGGTGGGCCCGGGACACCGCCCCGCCCGCCGCCCGCCTGCGCCCCCGCCCCCTGAGCCCGCCAACCCGCGTCTCTCCCCGCCCCTCCTCGGGAGCCGGGAGGGAGGGAGCGCGGAGGTGGGGGCCGGGAAGCCGGGCCATCCCTGGCCGCCGCAGGTGGGCGCGTCCCGGCCAGAAATAACCAGATTTCTCCCGCTTCCTCCGCCGCCACCGCCACCCACAGGCCGCCAGCCCTGTCATTACTGCGGGCAGCCCGGCCCCACGCCCTGCGTGTGGGCACCTCGCTGGGGTTGGGGCGATGCTCAAAAGAATCCGGCGTCACCCCGGGGAGGGGACCGCGTAACGTCCGACGCCCAGTCGGGCTGCAGCGAAGGGGAGCCTCGGCGTCCAGCCGCGGCTCCCCGGGTGTCTGCTTTCCCTTCTGCAAAATGGGTGCACGGGCACGGGTTAGGAGGTCCTCAGAGAGGAATACCTGGACCTTATCCGGAGGAGAGTCCCCTCCCCTCTCGCTGGCAAGTTTCTAACCCCAGGAGCGCCTTTGGCGGGGGTGGGGATGGGGGTTGAGGTGGGCGGGGGTGAGGGGGGAGTGAGACAGGGAAAGGTTACAGCAAATGGGTGCAGGGAGTCCAGTTTGAGCCCTTCACACCCCAAATTCCTGGCGATCTGTGCAGCAGAGTGGGGGACAGGATCTGGGGTGGGGTGACGTCTCTAGGGTCCCTTCTTTGGGTGGCCTCTCAAGGGGCCCCTAGGTGGACCCCTGACTCCCATCCTCAACTCTTGCAACCCAGACACCCTCTTTATAGGGTACCCAGAGACTCTCAAGGAAAGTCCAGCCATCCCTGCTGCCCACCACCCTTTGGGAGAGCCCCTTGGGAGAGCTGGGCTCTGAGTGTGGGAGACACCCCAGAGAGCCTGCGAGAATAGGGGGAGGTGCTGGGCCCACCCTTGAATCACCCAGGTCTCCTGGGCTGATAAAGACAATGAGAGAGTCTGGCAGAAGCCAGTTGGACCCCTCCTGGAGGAGGAGGCCCGGCTAACCCTAAGCCCTCCTCTTTCCAGCACAACCAGGCCTAGGTGGGCTTGAATAGCTCAGGAAGGGATGTAAAGCGGCTGGAGGGCAGGTCTCCCAGTGTTGAGGGTTGAATGGGTCAAGATTCAGCACTTTGGAGAGGCCCCCTCCTTCTGTATGCCTCCCCTCACAGACAGGGACTCATTTTCCTGTCCTGCTGCAGTAGGAGCACCCCGGCCCCTGGCAGGCCTGTCTAAACCCTCCTTAGTTTCCCTTCCACTCAGGGATGAGCAAGTCCACACTGGATGCCTCACTTGGGGCCCCAGCCTGGGGGCAGGGAGAATGAGGGGGTCCTTTCTCTGCGCTCACCTCTCCTCTCTCCTCTCTATGACTGCCCTCTGGGGGCCTCCTCTGGCCTTGGAGCTGAGTACCAGGACCTCTGATGTCTCTGGGGGCCTGCAAGCCCCTCTACTCAGCCAGTCAGGCCTCCTCAAGCCCTGCCCCTCTTCCCAGGCAAAGGCACAATGAAATTCTGACGCCAGCAGTTGACTTGGCTTCATCTCAAGCATCATTCCTATTTATTCACGTCACCTCCCAGCTCTGAGCCCCAGGCCCCAAACCAGGTCATTATCTGGTACTGTCGCCTTTCCCTCTGTCCTGATGTTTTTTGTGGGGGCTGCCACCAGGCTCTTCCTTTGCACACTGAAACCCACCCATACAGGCCCTCTTCTGGCCTTGGGCCCAAAGGAGCTGAAGCTACCTCCCTGGCCCGGGTTGTTGAGCAGGATGGGCACGGCTGACTCAGAGTTGGCACAAGCACCCAGGTTCTGCCAGAAAAGAGGGCTGGGCCACGCCCTGCTCAGAGAAACCAGGCTGCTGTTTTGACCTGTGGGTCAGCCAGCCCTCTGGTACTCTCCTCTCCTCCCTCTCACTCACAGGCTGGGAGGCACTCTGCCTGCTTCTGCTGAGTGTAAGTCTATATGGCGAGGACTGTGTGTCTATGCGTGGAGGGGCTGGGGGGCCCAGCAAGAGGCTTTGTACCAAACCAGAAAGTTCCTGGATTTGGCTCCCTCTGCCCTAAACAACCAGGGCCCTGTGTGGGCCCAGCCCTGGCCAGGCGCCTAAATTATCCTCCTCAAAACCCAGCTCTGTTACCTCTACAAGATGTCCTGAGAGCCTGGTGACTCACAGGGCATTGGGCAGGCTTGGCTGGGTGCACAAAGGGGCCATGCATTCTCAAAGAGTTCTCGAATGGAGTTTCAGGCATCTCGCCACCCCCACTGACCAATGTGGGTGTGGGATGGGTGTGGGCAGGGCACTTCTGGGATGACTGGAGACAAGTGAGACCTAGTGTTGCGGCCAGAACCTACCTCAAGTCACTTCTCTTGGCCTCTCTACCACTACCCTTTTTAGAGGCCTGGGGCGGGGAGGGGAGGATCAACCCAAGAATGCCAACTTTCAGGATGGTCAGGCTCCAGGTACGCTTCAGTGCTGCCCTGCCCGACCTCTTCCCCAGAAACGCAAACCTAGGCAAGCCTGGGTAGGTGAGGTGGATGAGGTTTATTCTGCCCTCTCCTTGTCTTTGGAGCCCCTGTCCCAGGGCGTGGGGGATGAGGGCTGTTTAAATCTCGGCTCTGCAGTCTCCTGCTGTGAGGCTTTGAGCAAGTTTCTTCACCTCTCAGAGCTCTACAGTCAGGAGACGCAGTTTTCCTCAGACTCAGCTGAAATAATGGATGTCGGCTACCAGATACAAATAGGTGCCAGCTGGACAGACATGCGCTGGATCCTCTCTCCCCACAGCTGTCCCCTCTTCTACAGATCCTGGTGGTCACAGAGCCCAGCCTGAGGCTCTTGTTCCAAGGGCATGCCCCTGTACTTGTGAGGACTGGAAAACCCCATCTGGGCCCCCTCCAGAGGGTCCTGGACCTCCTGGACGCAAGTCCAGATGCATCAGGAGGAAAAGTGAAGGCTGCCTCTCCCAAGGAAGCAGCTATGGCAAAGTGAGGGTGCTCAGATCACATCAGGAAGACACTACTGACGGTGCTGGGATCCAGGATGCCACGATGGACCACAAGGTTTCTGGGCCAATTGGCAACCCCAGGACAGTATGGGATGACTTGAGGTTACTTTTCCATAATTACATTTGTGGGATTTTATTGCATATTCATTTGTGAATGTAACTGTGATGTTTATTTTACTGTGGACTAAGTTCCAGTGTTCACCCCCACCCTACCCCACCCCATAGGAGAGTCTAGTGCTTGGTGTGGGGACACAGTCAGGAGGCTGGCCCTCAGACCCTCGTCTGAGGCAGGAGGCACAGCCTAGCCCCCTGAGGGAGAAGGCACACTTAAGGAGTATTTGAACCGAAGAAGACACTGATCTGCTATTTCATTTATTCCAAAAATATTTATTGGGCACCTACTGTGTGCCAGCACTGTTCTACAGGCTTGGGAATCCTCGGTGAACAAAATATACCAAAACTTCTGTTCTTGTGGAGCTTAAATTCTAATGGAAAGAAAAGAGACACAATAATAAACATAAGAAGTAAATTGTAGAGTATATTAGAAGGTGTACGAACAATTTTAAAAAGTAGAGTAAAGGAATTCAGGAATGGGAGACGCTTAAATTTTAAATAGGTTGGTCAGGCTGGATCTCACAGGAAAGGTGACATGTGAGCACAGACTTGAGGGAGGTGAGAGAGTGGGCCGTTCACAGAGATATCTGGAGAAGAGAATTCCAGGTATAGAGGACAGGCAGTGCCAAGGCCCTGAGGCAGGAGTGTGTCTGGTGTGTTGGAGGACCTGTAAGGGGGCCAGTGTGGCTGGAGCAGAGGGATAATGAGAGAAGGCAGAGAGGTAATGGGGACCAGGTCCTGCTGGGCCTTCTAAGGGCTTCCACTTTGACTCTGGGAGAAATGGGGAGCACTTGGAAGGTTTCAAGCCAAGGAAGGACATGATCTGACTCATGTTTTAAAAGAACCTCTGGCTGCCGGAAGGAGGAGTATCATGGAGGGACAAGGGCTGAAGCAGGGAGCCCAGTGAGGAGGCTACTTCTCTCCTACCTACAGATCTTTCCTGCACCATTGGAGGCCTCACATCCTCACATGCATGTGGAGAACTGGACAAACCAGCCCACTTGCCCAAGCTCTCTCTACCTCCACCTCCCACTAAAGCTACCCTTTAGTGCACACACCAGTCAGCAATGGGAGGAAGGCCTTAAAGAAGAGGCCTGCACAGGCCCTGTCAATGGGCTCAGGATGTCTGGGCAAATACTTTTGGGGTCCCAGATACCTGGAGGGCAGGCAGGGATATGTTACCTTGGCCTTGTGGTCTCTTCGTTCTGCAGAGTGTAGCTGGAGGAGAGCCAGAGTAAGGTCCTCTCAAGTACACAGTCCAGGGCAGGGGCCCTGGCTTCCCAGATCTGAGGACAGAAAAGGTACTGGAAAGGGTAGATGAGGGAGCTAGGCCCAACCAAGAGAAACGGAAGTGGCCCAGGTCTGCGAGCAAGCATACTGGGGCTCATCTCAGGAAGTGGGTTTCAGGCTGTAAGGCACACACACTCACCCCAAGAGTAAAAAATGGCTAGTTGTATTGCGGTGAGCAGAAGCCATGCTGCGCCAATGACAGGCAACGTGAAGTCAAGCTGCTGCCCTGGACAAGTGAGGCCTCTTCCTCATCTCAGCAGATGACATAATCACCACCTGGTTGCACACATAGGCTATTTGGGAGTCATTCTTGGCCCCTCTTCTCTCTTATTCCCATTAGCCATCAGCAAGTCTTGTTAATGCTACCTTTTAGGTCTGTCTCCAATCATTTTCTCTCACCCTACTCCAAGCTCCTTTTGTCGCTTTCCTAACCTCTACAATAGTTTGCTATCTGATCTCCCTGATGCCACTTCCCTCCCTCCAGTCTGTTCTCTCACAGCAACCAGTGTGATCTTAGTAAAACAGAGAGCTGACCATGACACACACAGCTTAAGATCCTCCTACTGTCTTCAAAATAGTTCAAATTCTCTAACGTCGCCTACAAACCCATTTATGATCTGGCCCTTGCCGACCAGTTTCATTTCTCCCCCCCTCAAACTCTTTAAGTTCCACTCCTGAACTTCTTTCACATCCTCTCATATGTGGTGCTCTCTCTCAGCTTGTGCACAATGGGGTCCTTCTGCATGGAGTGCCCTTTTCCCTTCTCTCCTGGCTTACTCCTAGTCATTCTTTTTTTCTCTTTTTCAAAAAAATTGAAGTATAATCTATAAACAGTAAAGTTCACCCTTTATAGTGTATAGTCCTGTGAAGTTTGACAAATCCATAGTCTTGTAACCACCACTACAATCCAGATACAGAACAGTTCCATCACCCCAAGAAATTCCCACATGCCCCTCTGGAGCCACCACTAGTTCCCATCACCAGCTCCTGGCACTCATCTCTTTTCTGCTTTGCATTTTCTGGAATGTCCTATAAGTGGAATCATTCAGTATTTATGTTGCCTTTTGAGAATGTTTTCTTTTACTTAGCATGATGCATTTGATATTCATCTACACTGCTGTGTCTATCAATTGTCTGTTTCCTCTTGATTGCTGAGAGTATTCCATTGTATAGACGTACCACAATTTATTTGTCCTTTCAGCCTGTGGTTAGGACATTTGGTTTTTTTCCAGTTTGGGGAGATTATGAACAAAGTCACTAGAAACATTTGCGTAGAGGGTTTTGTGTGCACATAAGTCTTCATTTCACTTGGGAAAATACCTAGGAGTGGGACTGCTACATGTGTAATTTTATAAGAAACTGCCAAACTGTATTCCAGAACTGCTGTGCTAGTTTCTATCCCTAGCCCAATACATGAGAATTCGAGTTGCTCCACTTCCTTACCAGTTCGCATTTGGTTTGTGTGGGTGTGCTGTACGTAGGTATTTCATTTCTTGACATTCTACTAAGTGTGCAGTGGTATCATATTGTGGTTTTAATTTCCACCTCCTTGAGGACTAACGTTGGTGAGTTTACTCATTCTTTTAAATCTCTTCTTGGTCTTAACTTCTTCCAAAAAGCCACTCTGCATGCTGACTCTGTAGACTGATTAAGTTCCTGCCCCTTGTGGTTCCACAACAAGCAACATTTATCTCCACCTTGGCCTTAAACCACTAAACGGCAATTGATTTCCTGTCCCCTCCCTGCTCACCACCCTGGACACACACACACACACACACACACACGACTGTGAGCTCCTGGAGGGTAGAAGCAACATCCTACTTCCTTTGGCATCTCCAGCCTCCAGTACAGACCTGAAACACAATCTTTATACAATATTAAATGAGCTAATTAATTGCTGAACAAATCAGAGAACGAACGGATGAAGGTAAATGGTTAGGAACAAGGTTTTGCAATCAGACTGGCCTGGCTGTGCCAATTAACCCTTTCTCTATTGGTGCCTCACACGAAGCTCACCTTATCAAAAGCAACGCGGACGATACGAATATTTACGGCGATGGCGGCACCGACGACGCTATCAGACACAGAGCCAAAGCGGAAGAGGCGGGGCCGGAAGCGGAAGTGAGGCGGGGAGCTAGCGCGTCTCAGTTGCCATGGAGACTGGCGAGCCGGAGGAGCAGGGGTCGACCGAGTCTGGGTCCTCCGCCTTCCGGGGGTCAACATGGACGCCAACTCCACGTCTGCTCCGGATCTGCAGCCCCAGCCAGTCCACCTGGCTGTCCTCCCTCGCCTACACCGAGCCCTTTCATTACAGGGGTCGGTCCCACCGCATCGCGCCGCGCCCCGAGCCGCGCCTGCTGCGTCTGCGCCCCACCTCGCTACGCACCCAAGACATCTCGCACTTGCTTGCTGGCGTGTTCCGCAGCTTGTACACTGCCGAGGTGATCGGCGAAGACGTGAGCGCGAGCTTGATCAAGGCCCGAGGCAGCGAGGATGCGCGGCACGAGGAGTTCGTGGACGAGCTGCAGCAGGTAACGCGGCGCCGTATCCCCGCGCGCTTGTGTGTCTCACCGGGGGCGCGGGGGCATCGCGTCTGCGGACAGTGCTGGGGACCCAAGGCGCGCCCGCAGAAAGGCGGCCTCCCGCAGGACTCCGCTGCTCGACAAGTGTCAGCACCTGCCGGGTGCCAGGCGCTGTTCCAGGCACGGGGGATGCAGTTGGGAAAGCGCAGACCAAGTCCATGCCTCAGTGTATCCGACATTCTAGTGGAAGGACACTGTACACACGTTTACACAAATACACACATAAGCCATATGTCTATAGCACCTATCTTTATTTCTCTACACACAAACACACGTTATATATTGCATATATAAATAAAACGACTGAGGCAAATAGCTGAATAGTTATTTCCTGAAGATGTTAAAGCTAAAAGTCACCCCACTTTGGGGTGCCTGCCTTTATATCACAAACCACAATCTTAACTGAGGCATTGATGCCCAGATTTTAGGAAGCACGCCCAGTCTCTGGAACTGCAACTGTGCTTCCTCATCTGTACCAGGAGGAAAGCAGCGGGCTTGGATACGCTCTTCTGCGTCTGACTGCTGACGACTCCCTTCAGGGGAGTCTCGGGTGAGCGCTTTCAAGCAGCTGAGGCAAACTTTGAAGGAGCTGACAGCTGGAGGCTGTCTACTCACTAGCTTTCTGCAACCAAGGTAGCAAGTGCTTCCTTGAAGAAGAGATCTGAGTGGCACAACGCTTTGTCTACCACAGGTGGGGTGCTAACTTGTATTTGGTATTTCCCAGAGTTTGGATGGCAGCTCTCTTTACTGTGAAACCAGGAGTCAGGAGACAGGGTTTCAGGCTTGACTCTGTTACTGACTTTGCTATGAAACCTTTAAGCTGTTTCCCTCTGTGAGTCTCAGTTTTCACATCTGTTAGGTTGGACCAGATGGTCTCTATAGTTCTATGACTGCTCTTCTGTGCTTCATGAGAAGCCCTGATGCTGGAGTGAGGTTGAGTAACGCCATGTGATCTCACCATATTTCTGTGCATTTGATCATCCACCTGCCAGATTCGGGAGATCTATAAGCAACGGCTGGATGAGGTCGAAATGTTGGAGAGACATATCATTCAGGCCCGCGCACGGGCCCTGGCGGAGAAAGAGCGGGTGATGCACCAGGCCAAAGTATCCGTCCTTGAGACCTTCATCAAGATGCCTCCAGGTGTGTATAAAGAACTCCCATATGCCCTTCACCCTGGTTCCCCAGACGTTAATATATTACTGCATTCATTGCCCACTCTCTAGTCCTATTCTGAACATTTGGAGAGCAAGTTGCAGACGTAATGTTTTATTACCATAAAACACTCCAGTGTGCATGTCCCCAAAACAGGGACACTCTTCTATGTAACCAGCATACAACCCTCCAAGCCAAGAAATCAGCATTGGTGCAACATTCACCACGAATTCACAAATCCCATTCAGATTTCACCAGCTGTTCCACAGTGGCTATTTCTCTTCTTTGGTCCAGGATCCTGTCTGGGAAGTCATGTTGCATGTGATTATCTTGTCTTTGTTTTAGACTCTTGAGTTTGGAACAATTCCTTGATCTTTTCCTGTCTTTCATGTTCTTGATAGTTGGTTGGTTTTTTTCCCCCAATTTTCTTTTATTATGGTAAAATTGCATATAACATAAAATTTACCACCTTAACCATTTTTAAGTGTACAGTTCAGTGGCGTTAAATACATTCATAATGTTATACAACCATCATCACCATCCATCTCCATAATTCTTTTCATCCTGTAAAACTGAAACTCTCTACCCATTAAACAATAAATCCCCCTTCCCCCTTCCCCCAACCCCAACCCCTGGCAACTATCATTCTACTTTCTGTCTCTATGATTTTGATTACTCTAAGTGCTTCATATAAGTGGAATCATGCAGTATTTGGTTTTTTGCAAATGGCTTATTTCACTTAGCATAATTTCAAGGTTCATGCATGTTGTAACATATTGCAGAATTTCCTTCATCTTTAAGGCTGAATAATATTCCATTGTGTGTGTGTATATATACACACACACACCACATTTTGCTTATTCATCATTTGTTAGTGGACACTTGGGTTGCTTCCACATATTGGCTATTCGAAGTAATGCTGCTATGAACACAGATGTACTACAAATAACTCTTTGAGACACTGCTTTCAATTCTTTTGGGTATATACCCAGAAGTGAAATGGCTGGATCATATATGGTGGTTATAGTTTTAATTTTTTGGGGAACCGCCATACTGTTTTCCACAGTGGCTGTACCGTTTTACATTCCCACCAACAGTGCATAAGGATTTCCATTTTTCCACATCCTCACTGACACTTGTTTTCTGGTTTGTTGTTTGCTTTTGATAGTACCCATTCTCATGAGTATGAGGTGGTATCTTATTGTAGTTTTGATATGCATTTCCTTCCCAATTAGTGATATTGAACATTTTTTCATGTGCTTATTGGCCATTTGTATATCTTCTTTGGAGAAATGTCTGTTTGAGCCCATTTTTTAAATTGATGTTTCTGCTGTTGAGTTTTAGGAATTCTCTATGTATTCTGGATATTTGTCCCATTAGATATATGACTTGCAAATATTTTCTCCCATTCTGTGGGTTGCCTTTTTACTTTGTTGGTAGTGTTTTTTGATGCACAAAAATTTTAATTTTCTTGAAGCCCAGTTTGTCTGTTCTTTCTTTTGTTGCCTGTGCCTTTGGTGTCATATCCAAGAAATCATTGTTAAATCCAATGTTATGAAGATTTTGCCCTATGGTTTCTTCTTAGAGTGTTACTGTTTTAGGTCTTACATTCAGGTCTTTGATTAATTTTGAGTTAATTTTTGTATGTGGTGTTAGATAAGGTTCCAACTTCATTCTTGCATGAGAATATCCAATTTTCCCAGCGCCATTTGTTGAAAAGACTGTCCTTTTCTCATCAAATGGTTTTGGCACCCTTGTCAAAAGTCATTTGACCATATATGTGAGGGTTTATTTCTGGGCTTTTTGTTCTGTTTCATTGGTCTCTATGTCTTTCTTTATGCCAGTACCATATTGTTTTGATTGCTGTAGCTTTGCAGTAAGTTTTGAAATCAAGAAGTGTGAGTCCTCCAGCTTTGTTTGTTCTTTTTCAAGATTGTTGTGGCTATTGAGGACTCCTTGAAATGCCACATGAATTTTAGAATGGGTTTTTCTATTTCTTTTTTTTTTTAAAGATTTTTTTTATTTTTTCCTTTTTCTCCCCAAAGCCCCCCAGTACATAGTTGTGTATTCTTCGTTGTGGGTTCTTCTAGTTGTGGCATGTGGGACGCTGCCTCAGCGTGGTCTGATGAGCAGTGCCATGTCCGTGCCCAGGATTCGAACCAACGAAACACTGGGCCGCCTGCAGCGGAGCGCGCGAACTTAACCGCTCGGCCACGGGGCCAGCCCCCAAGGGTTTTTCTATTTCTGCAAAAAACATCATTGGGATTTTGATAGGGATTGCACTGAATCTGTATATTACTTTGGGTAGTATTGACATTTTAACAATATTAAGTCTTCCAATCCATGAACATGGGATGTATTTCCATTTACTGGTCTTCTTTAATTTCTTTCAGCAATGTTTTGTACTTTTCATTGTACAAGTCTTTCACCTTCTTGGTTGGCTTTTAAGTATTTTATTCTTTTTGATGCTATTGTAAATCGAATTGTTTTCATAATTTTATTTTCATATTGTTTGTTGTTAGTGTATAGAAATGCAACTGATTTTTGTGTGTTACCTTTCAGTCCTGCTACTTTGTTGAATTCATTTATTCATTCTAACACTTTTTTTTGTGGGATCTTTAGGATTTTCTACATATAAGACCATATCATCTGCAATCAGAGAGAATTTTACTTCTTTCTTTCCAATTTGGATGCCTTTTATTTTTTTTCTTGACTAATTGCTCTGATTAAAACTTCCAGTACTATGCTGAATAGAAATGGTGAAGCCGTGTTTTCTTGCTTTGTTCTTGATCTGAGAGGAAGATCTTTCAGTTTTTCACCATTGAGTGTGATGTTTGCTGTGGGTTTTCATCTATGACTTTTATTATGTTGAGGTAGTTCCGTTCCTTCTGTTCCTAGATTTTTTAGTGTTTTTGTCATGAAAGGGTGTTGAATTTTGTCAAGTTTTTTTTCTGCATCAGTTGAGATGATCATGTGATTTTTTTTCCCCTTCACTTTGTTTGTGTGGTGTATTGCATTGATCAGTTTTCATATGTTGAACCATCCTTGCAATTCCAGGAATAGATCTCACTTTGTCATGGTGTATAATCCATTTAATATGCTGCTGAATTTGATTTGCTAGTATTTTGTTAAGGATTTTTGCCTGTGTGTTCATAAGGGATATTGATCTGTAGTTTTCTTTTCTCGTAGTATCTTTGTCTGACTTTGGTATCAGGGTAATGCTGGCTTCATAGGATGAGTTAAGAAGTGTTCCCTACTCTTCGAATTTTGGAAAAATTTGAGACGAATTGATATTAGTTCTTTAAATGTTTAATAGAATTCACCAATGAAGCCATTGGGTCCAAGGCATTTCTTTGTTGGGACACTTTTGATTCAATCTCCTTACTAGTTATA